CCCGAGACAGGAAGCGCCTCAGGTAGCTGCGGCCAGCCCAGCGCGGGAGTCACTGTTAGAAGCGTCACACGCTGAGACTCGGTGATGTGAGACTTTAAACCGATTGCCAGTCACCGACGGTAGGCAGTGCCGTAAAGTTATCACACGTAAGAAGTGTGTGCCATCGTAAGCATCCTACTCTATTGTGAGTTTAATTGCGTTAAAACCTATTCTCATTTTAGAACATGCCAGTTATTATGTGAAAGGGAATTTAAAATAACGAGTTCAGCCCTACCAGTATGCTCAGAGGTTGAGCGTGGACCCATGAACCAGGAGGTCACGGTTCGACTCCCAGTCAGGCACAGGCCCGGGTTGCGGGCTCCATTCCCAGTAGGGGGGCGTGCAGGAGGCAGCCGATCCATGATTCTCTCTCTCTCTCCCTCTCCCTTCCTCTCGCTGAAATCAATATAAACATTAAAAAAATAAAATAGCGAGTTCATAGAAGTTGCAGCCTGCCTTCTGGAGAAAGAAAAGGGGGCGGTATAAATGCACCCCCAGGCCCAGCTTCATCTCCTTATCACAGGCCGATGACATACCCGTGACAGCAGCCTGAGCCCGTCCTACCAAAGCCGCGATTCATGCTGTCGCCTTTTATTTTAACCTTGAAATTTTTTTTTAAATAGATAACTTTAGTGAGTTCAGAGAGGAAGAGAGTTCCCGGAGAGAGAGAGAGAGAGAGAAACATCAGTGATGAGAGAGAATTATTGATCAGCTGCTTCCTGCGCGCCCACAACCCAAGGCGTGTGCCCCGACCTGGAATCTAACCGTGACCTCCTGGTTCACAGGTTGACGTCCAACCACTGGGCCACCCTGGCCGGGCTATTGTAACCTTTTGAAAAGGGACGGGACCCGGGGGGCCTGAGTTTCACTTTCATCTCCAGAGCAGACGTGGAGTGGGGCTGAGAGGCGCCTCTGACCCTCCTGTCAGTTTTCATTCCGAGTGTAATTCCCGCGCGAACGTTCCGTGCCGCGGTCAGCCCTCCTTCTCGCCACGTGCTCACTCTGTTTGTTCCCGTCATTTCATCCCCCCTTCCCCCCAGCAATCCGTTTTGGACGAATGCCAAGATCCGAAAAAGCGAAACTGAAAGCTGAAATCCTCACATGTGACCACGACGTGGACGATTCGGAAACGGCGGACCTCAGGTCGCTGGCCAAGCGCATCCACGAGGCCTACCTGCGGAGCTTCAACATGAACAAGGGCAAGGCCCGCGGCATCCTCGCCGGCAAGGCCAGCAACAGCCCGGTGCGTGTCG